TTAGCCATAGTTACCTGGTCAGTTGGAAAAATTGCTGTTACAGCTAAACCAAATGAAACTAAGCTGTAGATAGGTCAAGTAAAGTTCAGACAGAATAAACCTGGCAAGCCTCAGTCCTGAGGCTTTGCAAACTCAGTATAAAGCCTGTGCCCTTTACTAGCAATGATAATACTGTGTAACAGGGTAACAGCTCTATAAGCACAGATGATGTTTGGCATGTTATACTGCCTGAGCTGGAGAATGTGGATGGCTTAAATCATGTGACAAAACCTAAGTTCAGAGTAGATGGTGATATTCATATGGACTAAGAAAACATTTTGCTTCTCTAAGCTGGGGCCTTGCCAGTTGTTTTGGAGAGAACAGATGAAGAAAAGAGCTTGTGAGTAATAGTTATTAACAGAAGAAAAGCCACCTGCAAAAGGCATATGTGAACCTAGAGTGTGCTGCATATGCTAGTTTCAGTAGGGCTAGGAAAAATAAACACTGTTGCTCATCAATGGAACTTCATCTGAAATTCTGTGTTTTGTTCTGGATGCTTGTATTCAGGAAAGGCTTGTTCAAATTGGAGCAGATGAAGAAAAAAGCTATGAGGAGTGGAGAACCTGTGTATGTGTATTGCCCGAGCCCAGACAGAGCCGCTCCAGTGAGTTTGGCTTGCACTAACTGAGATGCAAAGGTGTGAGGAGTGCCATGTGAATGCACTTGGGTCACCTCTGTGGTGCTAACTTGGGTATGGAAGCAGTAAGCCATGTCTGCAGGGTCTGGGGTTGGAGGGAATAAACCTATTGGGCTCATTAGACTAGGAGTAGCATGGTAGGAATGTGTCTGTCACGTTTCTGGACCCAAATGGATGTGTCTGCATGTCACAGTGCTGCACTGTGTGGATAGGGATATTGGTCCCTGGTGGATCTGGGAGCTCTATGCTGCAGGCATAGATACTTCTTTAAAGAGTTGGAATAGATACCTCTTTAAAGAGTTGCTACATTTAATCATGGGGATTGTACTCAACACAGGGAATTAATGATTTAATGAAGAGTTTCAGGAGGGATGGGTGTGACTGTAAAATCAGGTCAGAAGGTATTGAAGGATTTGGAGTGGAAAACTCAAGCCCCACGCAGAAGATCCTTTAAGCTGCAGACACAGTATGACTCCTGCCTGACTCTTTGGAGCTCAGTGTGCAGTTGAACTCACACATGGATGGTTGATGAACTCATCCATTTTCTGATTGCCTCCCAGTTTTTTATCTTCCTTTCATTTTTTCTAACTAACAGAGATCGACTGTGAAATCAACTGTTAGATTGAAGTAATTCCTGTGCCTCCTTTTTGTTGGGAGAAGCCACTTGCTACAGTACATTTCAGCTGTGCTTCAGTCCTCACCTCATTACACACTTTGTTTTCATAACACTTTCTCTTTTTTTAGTGTTTAACTTTCATTAACTGTTTCTCTCTTCTCTCATTCTTGTTTTGGTGCTCTTTTCCTGATTTTAGCAGTGTCTTACTCTCTTCTTTTGATCTTATTCCAGCTCACCATTTAAGCGGTTCTAAACTCTCTCTCTCTTTACCTTTTCTCTCTTGTAAACTGCAGCTTCCTCCCTCCTGAATGTGTCTTGTCTCTCCTTCCTTTTTATTTTTGACTCTTCATTTTCTGTTGGCTGTAAATGCCATTGCCATTTCTTTAAATTCCTCTGTCTTGCTCGGTTTAGTGGCTGTCATACAGGATTTTAGAAATACTTTTCCTTCTTGACACACAATGTGCTTGTTACCATTGATGTAAATGGAAAGGGCATTACAAAAATCAAAACATCAAAGCAGCACCTGTTCTGCATGTTATGAAACACCTACTTTTTCATTACTATTAAAATTTTTAGCAGTGCTTTAAATCAAAGGTGAATTGGAGTCAAAAACAAAGATTGAACTGGAAATGCTATCACAGACTCTGACAAGAAGGGAAAAATTGTCACCTTCAAATCTGGAAAAAAAAGGCTGTTTTCAGTGGGCTCTGTTTTCAAAATCAAGCGCACATTGGCAAGTTTTCCTCCTTATCCATTCTTTTAATGGCCAGCTGAAATATTTACAAAGAATCAGGAAAACTGAAGATTGAATTCAAGTTATTAATTTATTATTAAAAGGTGGGATTTTACAGCTTTCTGAAAAAGTGTGTGATTTAGATAAATACTGAATACAGTGCATAGGGTAATGTTAGTAATCTCCTGGGAGCACCTGCCCTTGCTGAACTATCATGTACAAAACAATTATGTAATTTCCTATAGTTGCATCAGGTATATCAGATTCTAGATATTTGGATGGTGCAAAGGCATTCTGCGTTACACGTCTTTCACTTGTTTGTAATTAATAGCAAAGGCACTTCAGGCGATAGGCTGGCGCTCTCTGCCAGAGGGATATACATATATCTTCAGGTTTGGTGTTTGTCTTGGACAGCTTGGCAAATACTTTGGCTTTAGGGAGACTTGGAGTCTTAGGCAAATAGGCTATATCAAGGCTCCATGGTTTGTTTTTTGTTTGCTTGTTTATAGAGCTTCTAGAGCATTTCAGAGTTGAAATAGATATTTTTCCTGCTTTTCTTTCAGGGAAAATAGTGTCAATGGATCAGATTTGCCTTTGGGGCTTTATTCAGCTCTATATAATGCAACTCTCCTGGAGTCGGTGATTCACAGCTCCCTGTGACTGCTAACAGCACAGGGTGCAGTTTACCACGTCCCAGTTCTGTGGGGCTGGTAGTGACAATTCAGAAGGGAGCTTCAAGCCATTGCCCTGCTTCTCCTACATGCAGTGACTTCATGTGCAGCAAACCTACCGGTACAGCCTTGGGTCAGGTTCCAACACTCCCAAACAGCACTCTGGGGTGGTATCTTGGATTCTGGAAACATTCAGCTCTTTCTGTATGTATTTCCATGCCAGCTGTTAATGCTCCTTCAGCTGAGGAATGCTAGTTAATAGTTTGGAAGAGAGGAGGAAGAAGATAAATTATAGTGGAAATGGGGCGTGAGATGAGGTGCAGTGCTACAGGTGGTGAAGTTGCTCCGAAGGAAAAGGACTGAAGAGGAGAAGGCTGATATCCTAACAGCGTTGCAACTACGTTTAGTTGTGGTGAACCAGTCTGCAGTGTAAGCTGAGTGAACAAGCAGATTGCTTGTTTAATTTTAACTAATTTCATTTCCTTTTCTGTAAAGGATATGAGGCTCTGAATAGAAACTTAAGGGAAGAGAAAACAACCTAAAGCTTGTGCAGGGTTCGTGTATGCTCTTGCTCTGGGCTCTGTTCAAGCCCAGAAGGCCCTTGAAAACACTGGTGGCCTCTTTTCCATGACAGGACTTGCTTTTGAAATAAACCAAACCGATGCTAATCACAGCTGCTTCAGACATTTGAATGCCAGGTCTCTTGCAGTCTGCACATGAGCTTTATTTAAACAAACCTACTTATTAAAATTTCTCATCTGGCTTCTAGTATAATATTAAAGCTGGATACTTAGAAGTCTCTGATGTTTGGGATTCCTCTTCTGTTGTCCATGTATCCAATTACGATTATATTGCTTTGCAACAAGATGGTTGCCAGCAGGGGATACTGAAAAGTGCCAAATTAAATTTCAAATACGTTTTGCTCTGTGTTCATGGTGAGAATTATTTCTGCCCTAGCTTTACTGTACTCAGCAAAATGAGCTCAGGTTGCCTTTAAACACTTTGTAATACCAGTGTCGTTGAGTCTTTAAGGCCATCTTAATGGCTAGCACCCTTGACACCTTCTCTTCACTGGCATAGCATGAATGGCAAAGGCTCTGGTTTTAAAAAAAAAAAAAAAAAAAAAAAAAGGAGGGGGGAACCTTCCCCCCAACTCGTGTCTAGC